TTTTTTTTTTTTTGCAGGTGCTATTGGCAATTGTCAGCTCATCGTAAACATTTTATGAGGCTATAGCGCCTTTGTGATTTCCCTTGGAAGTCTGCAGGAGGCAGGCCCTCAAGTGGGGAGGACCTAGGTCTATCAAGTCCCATGCCATAAAGGTGTGTCAGGACATCTCCTGCTTGGCTGTGATCTGGTGCATGTTCTTCATCCTTCCAGAGTATCAGCTTTCTATTAGGAAAATGAGATAACAAGACTTCCCTTTGAGAGATGTCTTCACAATCAATCAGAGGATTTTCTGAAAAAGAGGGCTGTTTTGATTCCATTGTTTCCAGAGCTTTTTTAGGGGACAGAGTCTCACTCTATTGTGTTTCCTAGAGTACACTGATATCATTGTAGCTCACTGCAATCTCAAACTCCTGGGCTAAAGCCATCCTCCTGCTTCAGTCTCTGAGTAGCTGGGACTATAGGCGTGCACCAACCATGCCTGGCTAACTTTTCTATTTTTTGTAGAAACAGGGTCTTGCTTTTGCTCAGGCTGTTCTTGAACTCCTGAGCTCAAGCAATCAATCCTCCCACCTTAGCCTCCCAAAGTGCTAGGATTATAGCCATGAGCCACCACCCCCAGCCTCAGAGTTTGTTCTTAAAGTGAATGTTGCAGGGAAACCCTTGCTTCTTTCCACTGGATTGTGGAGCCTGGTTGACAAAGTTAGAATTCTGGTCTCTCAGTGATTGGGTCTTGACTTGACTTCTCCAGGGCATGTTCTGATCCTGTAAATGTTAGTACTAATGTTAGTACTTCTCATAAAGTAGGATCCCCCTGGCTAGATGGGATCCTCTAGGATCCCACCTCCTCTAGGATCCTAGTAGGATCCTCTAATGTTAGTACTTCTCATAAAGTAGGATCCTGCTGGCTAGATGGCTTACAGAGGAGTGTATTTCAGATAGTGGGTATGTCATATGCAAAGGTCCTGGGGCAGAAGGAAGTAGCTGAGAAAAGATACTGGAGGCCAGAGTAAGGGTATGCATGTGATGATGGGTAAGTCCAATGAGGCCAGATCCTTACCCAGCATAGGGACCTCAGAGGTGAATAAGCTAATCTCAGCTTCTTTCTCCTTTCCTGCAGGGGCTATTTGATTGCTGCTCCCTCTGTTTTCCACTCAGGAGTGGAGGAAGTCATCAGTGTGACCATCTTTAACTCCCCAAGGGAAGTCATGGTCCAGGCTCAGCTGGTGGCCCAGGGTGAGGCAGTGGTGCAGAGCCAGGGAGCCATCCTTGGTAGGTCTCATGAATGTCTGACCAAGGCTTCCTTTCCCATTGCAAAGTGGAGCCACTTGCGGGCCTTTGGGGCTGGGGCAGTGTGGGCTTTGATTGGTTTCTTTTTTGCCTTATATCCCTGGAGGAAGGACAAATTGTATTCTCCCTATTTTACAGATGGAAAGAGTAAATCCAGGAAGGGCAGACACCTGCCCAGTCTTGCAAACCAGAATACATTGTTTCTTGGCAGCCCTAGTTCTGTGGGCATGGATCTAGACATAGTTGGGACTCCCTTCTGTGCCAGCTTTGTTTGGAGGTGGAATAGGGGACCTAGCAAGATCTCATGACACTTTATACCTTTTGTTGGGTTTATAGACCCTTGTGCCATCATCCCAGACCTGGGTTCACAGGTCTCTCACTGATTGGAGCTCAGGCCTTCAGCCAGTTTTTACCCCTCTCTCATTGGTCAAGTGTGGATAGCAATAGTGTCAGCCTCCTGGGCAAAGGTGGTGAGTTCAGGGACCTGTTTCAGGGAACTGGAGTCTCTCTGGGCCTCATTCCTCATGCAGAGGCTCCTGCAGCCAAGGAGATACAGAGAGATGATGTCAGGGACCAGCAAGGCAGCACCTGTCCTCTGGGGACATGGGGAGTCATGGCCAGAGGAGGTGGGATTGTGAAAGTTAAAAAAAGGATTATCTAGAAGGAGTCCTTTCTGGTACCTTTTAGAAGTCCTTCTAGTCCTAGAAGAAGTGGACAGTCCTGATTTGGTGGCTAGTTAACTAAAATCCAACTCATGTTGGCTTCAGTAACAGAGTTTATGGTCTCTCAAAACTAGGGAAAAAAGTCCACTGGCATTGTTGGTCAGCTTCTTGCCTTAGGCTCTGATGGCATTTGTGTCTCTCCCAAAGATCAGAGGAAATGCCAGTTTCCCAGGACCATTGGATAAAATCCCAGGATTCCCTCTGATTGGCCCATTTGGGTTGTGTGCTCAACCCTCAGCCAGTCACTGTTACCAGAAGGGATGGCTTATGTGGATTGCCCGATTTGGGATGATGTGCTCAACCCTGAAATAATCACTCTGCCTGGGGGAAAGGCCTATGCAGATTGGCACAGAGCCCAAGAGAGGTGGGTGGTGTCCTTCCAAGCCATGTGGACTGGGATCTAGGCAGGTAGCACCCCCAAGGAAATTGAGGCCCTATTAGCAGGAGGTGTGAGAATGAATGGATTCTGGGTGGCAAAAACAGTAGATGACTAATTGAGTCCTGTAGGCCAGAAAACCCAGGATAGGTATTGGAACCACAAATGACTCATGTGGGTAGCAGAGTGAGGTGGTAGGAGACCAATCAGGTTCAATGGGGTGAGGTCCACTAGGGACCTGGGTTTCTTCTTTTTTCTCTCCACTTTTCTCCTTGTTCCTCTCCCCTGGTGTTTTCCCTTTACTCTCCTCACAGCTTACTTTGGGCAAGGGCCAGAGGTGAAGTAAATTAAATATATAGGCAGGCCAACTTTCTCCTGAATAGTTCAATTTTGTCTATCCCCTCCAGCCTTTAACTCTTGCCAACTTGGAGGAAACCTCTTGCTATGCCACCCTAGCCAGGCCAGGGTGACCCAGAGTGTATTTGTCTACAGAAAAACTCCTCTGAGTCAAGAAAATTTTTGTTTGTAAGGCTACAGGGAGGCAGGAAACACATAGCTCCTAATTTAATGTTTGTTCATTTTATTTTCATTTTTAGATAAAGGAACAATCAAACTCAAGGTAAGCTGTGAATTTTTAAAATCATAAACCCTACCTTGAAAATAAAGAATTGGATCTGGAATGGAACAAGAGACATTGCATGTGTTGTGAGAAAAATCATTAATTGTGATGTAAGAAATAAACAATGAACTTTAGAAAAGGAGAAAGCCACCCCTAGTCCCATTTTCTTACTTTTTGTTTTTGATGTTTCCCATAAATCTTTGTACAGATAGGTATTTTCCTTCATAGTTTTAATTAAAGGGTAGATACCATGATGTTTCCTGCTATTTTCTCTTAACTTATAAATGTACTTCCATGTTTCTAAGTCTCTGTTGTTGTAATTTGCATCTTATTATCAGCAATGTCCTATTGTACCTCTTATAGACTAATACACTAATTTATGCAGTCCCCAAGGCCCTGGTGTCAGTCTGTGGTCTGTTAGGAACTAGGCCGCACACCAGGAGGTGAGCAATAGGTGAGAAAATGAAGCTTCGTCTGTATTTACAGCCACTCCCCATCACTTGCATCACTGCCTGAGCTCTGCCTCCTGTCAGATCAGGGGCAGCATTAGATTCTCATAGGAGTGCGGACCCCACTGTAAACTGTGCATGCGAGGGATCTAGGTTGCCTGCTCCTTCTGAGAATAGAATGCCTGATGGTCTGAGGTGGAGCTGAGGTGGTGATGCTAGCATTGTGACCATCTGGTTACAAGAAGACAAGCTCAGCGCTCTCACTGATTCTGCATCATGGTGAGTGGTGTAACTATTTAATATATATAGGTTCTCTCTCTCTCTCTCTCTCTATATATGATATATATTACAATATAATAAAAATAGAAATAAAGTACATGATAAATGTAATGTGCTTGAATCACCCCCAAACCATTACCTCCTTCCCCCAGTCCATGGAAAAATTGTCTTCCATAAAACTATTCCCTGGTGCCAAAAAGGTTGGGGACTGCTGTACCAATTTACTAACCTTTCCCTTGCATAGGTTAGATCTTTTTTAGATTATTTTCAGGGCTTTGATACTGTAATCCAGGAGTTGCTGGCAACTTGGATGCTTTTTTTTAGGCCAAACACCCTAAAAGAAGAACCAGTAGCTTAGGATTCAAGCCTGTCATTGGGTCTTGCTTTGTCTTAGAAAGTCTTTTTGGCACCAGGGACTGGTTTTATGGGAGACAGTTCTTCCACCAACTTGGGGTGGGGGAGATGGTTTAATATGAGTCTGCAAGCAATTAATTTCTTATGGGTAGTCAAACCTCTCTGCTTATGATGATCTGGATTTGCGGCCACACCCCAGTGCTAGCGTCACCACCTCAGCTCCGCCTCCTGTCAGATTAGTGGTAGCATTAAATTCTCCTACGGAGCACAGCCCAGATCCCTCACATGTGCGGTTTACAGTAGGGTTCCTGCTCCTGTGAGAATCTAACGCCACCACTAATCTGACAGGAGGCGGAGCTGAGGTGGTGTTGCGAACAATGGGGCTGGTTGTCAATACAGATGAAGCTGCACCAGCCTGCCGCACTTACCACCTGCTGTGCAGCCCTGTTTCTAAGTTGGGACTTCAGTCTTAGAAGACACAGTCGTACCTGTTCTTGGCACCACCTGCAATATGTTAGGGACAAAATTCCCCACATCCTCTTAGCACTGAATATTGTTATTTTAAAATTATTTCATGTACTAAACTACACTGTGAGTAATTCTCTGATGAGTTTTTAACTAGAGTCCTCAAATTTCAGGGGGTTTGTAAGGCTTGAAATTGCAGGCATGTTTTGGGTTAGCAGTTCCTTAAGTTTTAGCAGATGCTCAAAGGTGTCCGTGACAAATGGGCTAAATGACGATCATTCTAAATTATCCTATGCCCACCCCCAGGGATCAGAATGGAGGCTGAGATGCTCCCCTTCCGTGGGCTTTGTCATTAGCATCTAATGAGTCGTCCTGACTTATGTTCAACGATAGAATCCTTTCCATAAGGCAGCAGTTGTCTCCTGGGGGTGGTTTTGTCCCCCAAGGAACATTTGATAATTCTTGGAGACATTCTGTGGTTGTCACAACTGAAGGAGGGGGGTTGCTTTTGGCACCTAGTGGGTCAGAGGCCAGGGATGCTGCTTAATATCCTAGACTGCACAAGATTCCTCATGGCAAAGAATATTCCAGCCCCAGATGTCAACAGTTGGGCAACCCTATCAGGGGTGTCCAATCTTTTTTTTTTTTTTTCTGCCATACATTGGAAGAGTAAGAGTTGTCTTGGGCCACATATTAAATACACAAACACTAACTACGGCTGATGAACATTAAAAAAGGTCCATGTGTACTTTTTGCTGCATCCAACCACAGATAATTGAAGCAGTCCTCAAACAATCTGCATGCGGCCCATGGGCTGTAGGTGGGAAACTTACAAATCAAGAGCTGAGAGCTGGCCTTGCTGCCTTCCTTGGGTTAGATCAGCTTTCTTTTGACTCAGAAAGCAGGGCTGCCCTGAGCAGACATTAAGATTATGTGCCTTCCCTGGCCACGTAAGAAGGCGCTCTTCACAGTGTAGATTCTGGGAATTTGTATGACAGACCAATGAAGGGCTATTTAATTCTGGGAGTGGGGCTGGAGGAATCTTAAGTCTAGAAAGGGACCCCCAGGACCCTGGCAATATCTGGAAACATTTGTAGTTGTCACAGTCGGGGAAGGGGGCACCTAGAGGGTGGAGGTCGGGGGGACTGCTAATCATCTTGCAATGTGCAGGATGACCCCCCTTGCAAGATCATCTGGCCCCAGATGTCATCAGTGCTGAGGTGGAGAAACCCTTCTCTGTGGAACCCTGGTGCAGGCATTGGGTGAAAGCCAAGCTGCTCTTATGGGTACAGAATCTCCCTCCTCATCCCCAGCCCTACTTGCCCTAGGGATTCCTCTGGGGACATGACAGTTTGGGGATACACAGTGGCTTGCATGTGAAGGCCCTACTCAATTCGAGCATTAGCTTTCTCATCTGTTCGGTGAGGTGCTGCCTAGATGCCCTTGGTGGCACTTTCTAGAACGTATGCCTGTGACACTTCCTTTATTCCAATTTTTCATACTTACCCATTCTTCTGTGTAACAAATGTCTCTTAAGCATCTATTAATTCCTGAACACAAAGTTGGACGGCTTTCCTTGTTGGCAGGTAAGAGGGTACATCAGACAGTAAACAATTACATCAATAGGATCACCTCTGAGAATAGAAAGTGTTGGATTTTATTTCAAAATATATCAGAGAAAGGTAGACAGGGCTGGGGAGTTAGTTGTGGAGAGCCACATTTTATATGGCAGGGACAGCCCCTCTGAGAGGGTGACATTTGAGTGAGAGCAGGAGGAACTGACATGCAGTATCTGTGGTAAAGGCATTCTAGGCAGAGGGAAGAGCCAGAGCAAAGGTCCTGGGGCAGGAAGGAGGAAAAGATAGGCAGCCTGTGGCCTGGAGCAAAGCCAATCAGGATCTCTCCTGTAACCCACGAGAAGGAGCTTTTCCAGTCTTTGAGATCTGTCACAGGTGGATTTCTCTGGCCAGTTTGGAGACCAATAGTGATACCTTGTTGCCACCATTTGTGGGTATCTGCTGTGTGCCAGGTTTGTGGTTTGTTTTTGAGATAGAGTCACTCTGTAATCCCAGGTAGAGTGCAGTGGCATCATCACAGTTCACTACAACCTTGAACTCCTGGGCTCAAGTGATCCTCTCAGCTTAGCCTTCCAAGTAGCTGGGAGTACAGGCATGCCACACCATGCCCAGCTAATTTTTCTATTTTTAGTACAGATGGGGTCGGACTCTTGCTTGGGCTGGTCTTGAACTCCTGAGCTCATGCTGTCTTCCCATCTTGGCCTCCCAGAGTGCTGAGATTACAGGCCTGAGCCACCATGCCCAGGCTACCAGGTTTTTTATACTCATGATTAATTATCCTCACAACTCTTTGAGGTAGACATCCTTACTATTTTACAGAAGAGGAAATGGAAATTCAGAGGGTCGAGCCAATCGCGTGGCTTTCTCACAGATACACTTGAGGCCAATATCTCCCTTGTCACAGATCTGAGTCTCTAGGGAGAATTTCAGGCCTTCTGGGGACTAGGCTGGTACGTGAAGCCAGGCTTCTGGCTCTGTTCTCTGGCGCCCACATCCAAAGGACATGATGAATCAGTGGGCTACATCCTGGCCTTCTGGGTGGTCAGAGGAGAATCTTTTACGATGGGACCCTGTATCTGGAGCTAAGGGGGTGTCCCTCGGCTACTGGTAGGGGGAGGGGTCCTGAGCCCAGGATAAACCCAGCTGCATCTGGATATTCATTAGGGTGGGGACATAAACCTGTGGTGGAACTGGAGACTCCACACAGCCTTCTGCCCCGGGGAGCCTCTTACTTTAGCCTTGGTCCCCCTTCACCTTCCATCTCAGCCTCCAGTGGTGCCAACTTTTCCTGGCCACTTCCTTGATGGCCTTATTGGGGATCATTCCCTGCTTGAATCTCAGCCCCCTAGCCCTTGGTTATCCTTTATGTTAAACAGGTGAACTTGGATCACTGAGGTCAGGGATGGGTGGGGGGTGGGGGATGGAATCTGCTTTATTCCAGAAAGACCTCTGGAGGCAGATAGGTCCACTGCTTTGGGCTGAGGGGAATTGGTTACAATGTGGCTCTACAGCCTTCCTGACCTCTCAGGAAGGAGAGCAAGTCACTTCCTGTCCCCAGAGGCCATGTGTGATCCAGGCCCAGTGCTTCCCCATGCCCCATGTGGGAGGCGCCTTGTTGCCCCTCCCCAGACTTACATGAGGGCTCTGAGGTGCCCAGGCATCTGCTGGGAGGAAGTAGGACAGCTATGCCACCCTCCAGCCTTTGAGCTGTGCCTCCTCCTGTAACCAGGGACCGTGTTCTGTCCCCTACACAGTCATTGTAAAGGAAAGAAGGCAGGAGAAACCTGGAGCCTAGGCCAGGTCCCCTTGAAGGTCCTTCCTGCCTTCTCTCCCTGTGGGAGGATACCCCACAGGTAAAGCTCTTCTGGGGGGCTGTGAATTGTGGTCTGTCCTCCTTTCTGTCCTCAGGGGAAGCCTCTTGTGCCCCAGCCTGTCTGTCCCTCCAGCATGTAGTCCCCACCCCCTCCAGATTTTCCTTCCTGCCCTGCTCCCAGGTGGTTGAAACTTTTCTTCCTTCTTCAGCCTGAGGCTGATGTTGAGAGGTTTCCAGAAACGGAGCAAATGAGGGTTATCAGTTTGCAGTAGGGAGTGAGGCTTATCCCTGTGGTTGGTCCTGAAAGGAAACTGCAGGCTGGTCGTAAGGGTGGCAGGTGGGGTCGGTCCCTCTGATGCTGTTCCAAGAAGACAGGAGGTGAGTGGCCAGAGAGAAGGTGGGGACTGGCCCTGATGCAAAGCTGACCCTGTGTGGTTGCAGGGTGGGGGTCTTGGCATCACTCCACTCGCCCCTGCCAGTGGACATGATGGTGCAGAAAGCCATGAGGATGTCAGAATTCTGCAGGATGCTCCATGCAGTCATTGACTCTGATGGTGACCAGGGTCCCTGCCACCCCTTGAGAGACCACTCTGGTCTGGTGGGTGCTGGCCAATGGGCCCTCTGAAGGGGAACACCCATGTTTCAATGGTCTTAGGAAAGGGGGGTACCTGTGGCTCCCCATGTGAACTGCTGACAGATAATGTCCCCTTGCTGGGTGCCCAGGGATGGCTGGAATGTAGCTGTCATCGTACGCACGTCACACTGGGGAAGATATGACTTTTGTGTGCTCTGAGCATGGAAAGGGCCTTTATAGATAATGACTCAACTACAAAACTGGGGTGTTCTCTTCATTGCTTAAAAATATAAGAGGGAATTGTATAGGGTGGGCTCTGTTCCCTGAAGAATGGAAATTCTGTCCTAGCAAAGTGGGACAGAAGCAGATTCTAAAAACTTCAGTGATTTTTTTGTTTTCTCCATCTATGTGGGAAAAAAATTATAACCATTTTAATCACTTTAAAATGTAGAATTTTAACCATTTAAAAGTGTACATTTTGGGTGGCTCCCGTAGCACAGTTGTTACGGCGCTGACCACATGCACCGAGGGTGGAGCGTTTGAATTTGACCTGGGGCCAGCTAAACGTCGATGACAACTGAAACAACAACAAAAAATAGCTGGGCGCTGTGGTGGGCGCCTGTAGTCCCAGCTACTTGGGAGGCTGAGGCAAGAGAATCGCTTAAGCCCCAAAGAGTTTGAGGTTGCTGTGAGCTACGATGCCACAGCACTCTACCAAGGGTGACATAATGAGACTCTGTCTCAAAAATAAAATAAAATAAAATAAAATAAAAACATACATTTCAGTGGCATTCAGTACAATCACAAACTTGTGCAACCATCACCCCTGTCTATCACCCCGAAAGGAAACCCTGGCCTGGTCAGCAGTCACTCCCTATTCTCCCTTCCTCAGCCCCTGGCAGCCACTAATCTGTCCCTTTGGCCTTGTTTGTTCTGGAAATTTCCTATCAGTAGAATCACACCCCATGTGTGTGTAGTGTACTTAGAGTAAGGCAATGCACAGAGGCATATCCATCATATATGCCATACAGATGAGGTACCTGCAGGTACATGTGGGCACACACATATGTGTATGTATATGAGGAGGCCGGGTCTCAGTTCCCTGTTCATAGGCTGTAAATTCACTTGGCAAGGTGGGAGTCAACTCTTCTGACTCTACAGAGATGATGAATGAAAATAGCTTTGCAACTTTGTAGTCAGCAGAGAAGGCTCTGGAACTCCAGCTAGGCTGCCATTTCTTAGCCTAAGCACTGTTGATATTTGGGGATGAATCTTTCTTCACCATGGGGGTGTCCTGTGCACTATAGGATGTTAAGCAGCATCCCTGGTCCCGCACTCAGTAGATGACAGTGGCACCTCCCGCTCCCCTTCCCCCCCGCCCCGGTAGATAAGACATCAAAAAACTCTTCCTGAAACTTCCAAGTGTCCCCCAAGAAGCACAGCAATCCCTAGGGTAGCACCTCCACTGTAGACTTCCAAATTGCTTTCCCAACATCTTGGTCCCTTGTGGGGAGACACCTTTGTCCCAAAGCTCCATACTCTGCCTGCAGGTGCCCACGGGCCTCCGTGGCCAGGCGCTCCTGAAGGTGTGGGGTCGCAGCCAGCAGGCAGAGGAGAGGCCCGTCTTCCACAACCAGACCTCAGTGACAGTGGATGGCCGGGGCACCTCCGTGTTCATCCAGACGGACAAGCCAGTGTACAGGCCCCAGGACCGAGGTGGGCAGTCGGAGCAGGCCAGGGAAGGGGGGTGGCTGGCCACAGTCTGCAGGTGCCACATGCTTCTCTTCTTTCTCCTAGTGCTTGTAAACATCTTTGCCATCTCCCCTGACCTGAGGCCCGTCAATGAGAAGGTGAGATCAGCTTCTAAAACCGTGAGCCCAGAGCACACCCACTTGGGACCACCTGCGCAGGGCACATCAGCAACTGTGACTCCTTTTATTTTTTACCTCCTTCCTGAGGCTCCACGTCCCTGGAGGAGCCTGAGGGTGGGAGTGGTCTTCGTGACAGAGGGAGGCTGGTGAGTGTACCTGGTTCACTGACACTCAGCCAGGAAGCACTAGTGAACTTGGGCTTTGGGTGGCCCTGGGCTATCATTTAAATCCTAATAGCCATGCAGTTATTTAACCTATGTTAGAAAGAAAATATAACTGCCACATCAAATATAATAATTTCTTTCAGATAATAAACACATTCACACAAAAAGAGCATGATTCTTCTAACGTTTTATTTGGAAATAACGTCAACCTTAGCTGTTGGGAGAATAGCAGAGCACACTGGATTTTGTAGGAACTACTCAGATCTGCTATTGTTATACAAAAGCAGGCATGAACAATATGTGAATGAACGGACATGGCTGTGTGCCCATAAGTCTTTATTTACAAAAAGGGGCAGAGGGCCAGAGTTGGCCAACAACCGTAATTTGCCAACCTCTGACCTGGAGCGGTAGTTCTTGAACTTGTGTGTTCGTGAGAACCACCTGAGAGGTTTGTTCACATACTCTGGGCCCCATTCCTGAGTTTTTGATTCAAGAGGTCTGGCAAGGAGCCCAAACATCTATGTTTCTAATATTCTCAGTTGCTGCTGCTGCTGTGAGCAATACACTTTGAGAACCGTGGCTCTAGATTCACCAATTACAAATCTACAAATGTAGCAAAACCTACATCTTGCTATATTTATGTCCTCTCTGTGTACATATGTATATTTAGTATATATATGCACATATGTATTTATATATGTGCTTATAAAATTATTTTGACAAGTCATTTGAGAATAATTCAAAGATATCCTGTTTCTTTACCTTTTGCCTCTATCTTTTAAGAAAAGGACATTCTCATACACAACCAAAGGACTATCATCACGTATAGGAATTTTGACATTGAAACCATAAAATTATCTAATTTAAAATACATGTTGTTCCAATAATATCCTTTACAGCATGTTTCTTTGCTGGTCCAAGATCCAATCCTGGATAATTTGTTGCATTTCATTGGCATGTCTCTTGGTCTCATTTAATTTGAATCAGTTCCCCTTTGCCTTTCTGTGTCTTTCATGACTAACGTTTTTGGAGAGTCCGGGCAGTTGTTTTACAGAATGTCCCTCAGCTGGCTGGCCTGCTATTCCCTCATTACTAGACTCAGGCTGTGAATATTGGCAGGAGCAACAGAAGCAATGCTGGGTCCTCCCAGGTGCCTCATATCAAGAGGCACCTGATGTGGGTTCACACTGTTGCTGGAGGATTTTTTTTTTTTTTTTTTGCGACAGAGCCTCAAGCTGTCCCCTTGGGTAGAGTGCCATGGCATCAAAGCTCACAGCAACCTCCAACTCCTGGGCTCAAGTGAGTCTCCTTCCTCAGCCTCCCAGGTAGCTGGGACCACAGGCGCCCGCCACAACACCCGGCTATTTTTTGGTTGCAGCCATCATTGTTGTTTGGCAGGCCGGGCTGGATTCGAACCCGCCACCTTAGGTGTATATGGCTGGTGCCTTAGCTGCTTGAGCCACAGGCGCCGAGCCGTTGCTGGAGGATGTTAACAGTGGCCAGAACTTCAAGCAGAGTCTGCCTGGTTTCTCCTCTGCCAGTCACTGTTTCTCTTCTGTAATCAATAAGTAATCTATATGGAACACTTAAGACTTTGTGGGCACCCTGTTACCCCTCAAGTGTTCCCCTGATAGTTGTAGTATCAGCAACCAGTGCAAAAAAGAAAAGAAAAAAAGAAAGAAAGAAAGAAAGAAAGAAAAGGCATTGACTGTAAAGAAAGTGATTAGAGTAAACCAGGTGAACTGAATTTATACATAGCAAAGATGTGATGGTGGTCAGAGGGCAACTTCCATTTTTGAAACCCCGAGAGGACTCATGGAAGATGCCTACTGTGTGCCAGGCTCAGTTCTAGTGTTTGGAGCTCATCACTGAGGAGATCAGACATAGATCCCACCCCTGTGGGATTCACATGTTGGAAAATAATCCAGTAAGTTCCCTGGTGAGTGGCTGACCAGCCTAGAAGTGCAGTTCTATGGTTATATGCAACTTTTTAACTGGCATCACCTCCAAGCTACAGTAATACTTTTCTGTTTTTTTGTTTTTGTTTTATTGTAGGGATCTTGCTATGATGCCCAGGCAAGCCTCATACTCTGGCTCAAAATTCCTAGCCTCAAGTGGCCCTGGCCTCTTTTATGACTTGCCCACGTTTTTGGACATAGCCTTGTAAACTCACCTCCATAGAGTTTTTTTTGCCACAGGAAGGCTTCGTACCTAAGCATCCCCTCCTGGTGGATATTTGCATGTCTTCAGATTTGCTGTTGTCAGAAATGCTGCCACGATTTTCTTTATACTTGAATCTTTCTTTTCCACTGGTGTTTCCTTCCTCGGGCTCAGGTGGATTCCAAGGCCCATGGCCAGGCTGGTGTTAAAGGTGCTGGGTTGCTTTCTGAGTGGACAGTGCTGAGTCCCTGTACTTGAATGTCTGGGACCATCTGCCCAGAGCCCTCCTCCCTCTGTGGCCTTGGTCACTTGAGACCAGCTTTTGCCCAATGTGCAGATATTGCTGGAGAGGGCTTGATGCGTATGAGAAAGGGAAGAACCTTGCACGTTTGCAGCTGTCTGTTTTCTTCTGGGGGTAGTAGGGAGAGGGTAAAATCACAAGGAATTGACTCCAATGTGCAAGGCTTCTAGGTGTCCTTGCGTTCAACTGGGATACCCCTAGACACACAGGCAGCCCTAAGCAGATAGGACAGATCCACATACCCAGCATCAGCAGCACATGGGGGCCAGGGCATTGCTGCCGAGTTCAGGAAGCACAGGCCATGTGTCAGCCATGGAACTCACCAAGAGCTCTATAACTTGGAGGCGACATGGGCTCCTCAGTTAGATGCTGATGGGCACTGGCTCATTGTGAAGTTCTGGGCACTTTAGGGCCTTTGAGGACCCTGGCACGGGTCACCTGGGAAAATGTCCCAGTGGCACACCTGCTGCCTGAGGAGTTGTCCCGGGGGCAGAGTCTGGAAGGGTGGGAAGGGGGCTCAGCCACGTTGTGTGAGTGTTCTAGGGCTGCTTAACCAAGTAGCACACATGGGATGGATTAAACGACAGGAATTTATTGTCTCCCGATTCTGGAGGCCAGAAGTCTGAGATCAAGGTGTCAGCGGGGTAGGTTCCTCCTGAGGCCTTTCCCCTTGGTTTATAGATGGCATCCTCTCTCTGTGTCCCTTCACGATGTCCTCCCTCTGTGTGTGTCTGTGTCCAAATTTCCCATTTTATTAAGGATGCCAGTCATACTGGTTTAGGGTCCACCCTAATGACTCATTTTACCTTGATTTCCTCTCTAAAAACTTTGTCTCCAAATAGTCACATTCTGAGGTCCTAGGGCTTAGCACTTAGACAGATGTAATTTGGGACGAGGGGAGTGTGTGCAAAATTTAATCCATAAAATTGTGTGTGTGCCTGTCCTGAGGGACCCAGGCTATGTGTGGGTGATGACTGAGCGTGTGTGGAGGGTTTGCTCACTGCCTCTGTGTGTCCTTCTTGCAGCTGGAAGCCCACATCCTGGTGAGTGGCCTGTGTCCCTCCGCAGCTTGAACTCGGGGCCTGGTCAGCCCACCTACTCCTACGAGATCTGGTCTGTCTTTGTGCACCGTCTCCTTCTGGGTTGCCTTTTGGGTTGAGCCCTTGTTGCTCACAAGGCAGGGCCCTGGCCTCTCTGCCTTGCCTTGGTTCATTTTTGTCCCCAGGTCTACCCTGGGACACTAAGTGTGTATCTGTCCACCTCTGTAAGCAGGCAAGCCAGCCCGGGCCCTTCTGCCTTCAGATTTTCTCCATCCAGAGCTTCCTTTTGCTTCTGTATTGGGGTTAAATAATTACTCTTGGGGTCTTCCCACTACTGTTGTCACGCCCAAGAGAGAAGGCTGGGGAGTGTTCTCAAGTTGGGCACATGCTGGTCTGCCTGAGTTCTCTATGCATGTCTGTCCCCACTGCAGGACCCTCAAGGCTCCCGGATGATGGAGTGGGGACACCTGAAGACGCTCTGCTGTGGTGAGTCTCCTTCCCTTCCTCTCTGCTGCTTCCTGTGCAGTCTGCAGGCTGCTTGAGCAGCAACCTTCCAGGTATACAATGCCATCTATCTTAGGGGTTCCCTCCCCAACATATCCCTCCTGGCACCCCAGTTGGAGGGGACCAAGGAGGAGCAGAGGGCACAGAGGCAGTGGTGCCTAGCTCATGACCCTTCTCTGAAGATTTGAACCCTCAGGCCATGTTTCTCTCTGCCCAGAATCCTGCCAAGAACTCAAGACCTTTCTGAAATATTGTGGCCTCATTTGTTGGCACGTGCTCCCACCTTCCTACTGTTGCAGGGTGAAGATCTTGTCATCCCCCCTACATGAGACATTTTCATTCCTGTTAGGAGTCACAAAAGGCTTTGCTTTGGCTGAAGGAGCTGAGCTGGATTTTTTTCTTTTCTTTTCGTTTTTTGTTTTTTTTTTTAGAGACAGGGTCTCACCTTGTTACCCTCGGTAGAGTGCTGTGGCGTCATAGCTCATAGCAACCTCCAGCTCTTGGGCTTAGGCGATTCTTTTGTCTCAGCCTCCCGAGTAGCTGGGACTACAGGCACCCGCCACAATTCCCAGCTATTTTTTGTTACAGTGTGGCCGGGGCTGGGTTTGAACCTACCACCCTTGGTATCTGGGGCTGGCACCCTACTCACTGAGCCACAGGCACTGCCTTATTGTTTTCTTTTTTTCTATGACTATAAGGGCTGTGGGATTGAGGAACTTTGGCAATGAGGAACTTGGTGCCCCAGTAGATTACAGGGAATTGGTGGAATTTGAGGAGTCTGAGGACAGCTATGTACACATTGGGACTGTCGAAATGTGGTGGCAGTGGACTCAAAAGCAGGACTCACAGGGGTCTTTTGAGGACCCCCCTCCTTTCCTCTCTCCTGTCCTGGGGTTCAGCACTCTTTGATCTGTACCATGCTCCCCTTCTGCCTCTTCCTTCCCTTTCACTCCCTGGTTCACTCTCTTTCTACCAGCAGATATTTGCTGGGCGCCGTGTAAATGTTGTCAAGGGGTAAGCTTTCTCTGGTGGGGGAAACAAACATTAAACTGCTTGGATAATGTCAGTTGTGATGAGTGCGAGGGAGGGAAAGTGCAAATTAAGAGAGGATAATGGGGCTCTATCCCAGCTGGGGTGGCAGAGGCAATCCTGGGAGTCTGCCTGGAAGAAGAATCTTTTGCCACAAAGTGAAGAAGGAACAGGAAGGAGCCAGGCAAAGCAAGGGCCAGGAAGCATGTTCTAGGCATTCTTGGCATGTTCTAGAATGTTCCTAGCATTCAGGAAGGGCTGGAGCTGACTGGGGGAATGAGGCTGGAGGCCAGATAGAGGCCTAGGTGTAAGGAATGCTGAGAGCAGGGGTGGGGTGTGTGAGAGCTGGGGAAGAATATGGACTTGGCCTTAAGAACACAGAGGAGGGGAGTGGTCAACTTCCTGTTTTTAAAAATATTCCCTGGGTGTGATGGCTCATGACTGTAATCCCAGGGACGCGGGAGGCTAACGCAGGAGGTTTGCTTGAAGCCAGGAGTTCAAAATGAAGCTGCGCAACATAGTGAGATACTTTCTCTAAAAACAAAACCCTTAGGATGTGTGTAGACTAAGTATTCTCCCTCAGGGTGTTTTTGTCTCTCTTTCCGGGGGCATTTGGGGATGTTGGTCACAGGCTCCTAACAAGACATGGTCACAACACACTAACCTCAATGTCCTTAATTTCCAAAGACTCACTTTCTCTGAAAACCTGAGGAGAGAATCACTTTAACCAGAACATTTTCTGATTCCAGTGGGAAGGAGGGAAGCTGTGTGTGTTGTCTTTGTCCTGAGTCCCTTGGGAGCTATCCTCCCTGTCTGCCCACTGGGGACAAGTGGAGGATGTCACACTTGGGAGTGCAAGATTCCCTAGAGTGGCTCGGAGTTGTCAAGCACACTCACACTCCTCTATCCACTCCCGGTGTGAAAACGGGGCTTCAGGCGGGGTTCAGGGGTATTGACCTGAAGCAAAGGCACCTCTGTGCCAGAGACCAGTGATGTTTCTTAGGGGACATGGGAGGGAAGTGCTCTGCTCTGGCCTCAACCATCCATCCATCCATCCATCCCAGTGGTTTCCACACCGGAGTGACTTTGCCCCTTTGGGATACTGGAAATATCTGGAGACTTTAGATTGTCATACTTAGCGGGAGATGGTGGTCCTCTTGGGAATTAGTGGGTGAAGGCCGGGGACATAGCTCAGCCCCCTGCAGGGAGCAGGACGCCCCACCCAGGAGAACAGTGCTGCCCCAGATGCCAGTAGTGCTGAGCTGGGAATGACAGGTTTAGGAGTACAAAGGGCCAGCTGTCTCCCTTGTGTGTTCAGCCCTCTGCCTGCACCTGGCTGCAGCCTCTCCCTGCACCCCTCCCTTAGCCTGCCGAGGGTCTCAGACCTGTTCCAGTGCCCACCCTGTAGTGTCCTGCTCCACAGAGGTCTGGCCTCTGTGTGATCTCCTGCTCCCCTGCGGTACTATTGCCCAGGGGGCAGCAGGATCCTGGGGTCCCTCTTCCTGGACCTCACTGCTGCTGGATTCTGGGGCTGGGCCCATGCTGATGGTTCTCTGCAAATGCCCTCACTTGGGCACAAAAGGGGTGTCTCTCTTCACACAGGCATCACCAACTTGAGCTTCCCCTTGTCTGACCAGCCTGTGTTAGGAGAATGGTTCATTTTTGTTGAAATGCAAGGCCACGTGTACAACAAGTCCTTCGAAGTTCAGAAGTATGGTGAGTTGGTGGCTCTTAGGGTCCTGGGATTTAAAGCCTGGTGGAAACCTCAGACCTACTAAGGATGCTGATGAAGAGGGGGGCAGGGGACCCCATTCACTGAGGGCTCGTGGTGGCTGAGCATGGTGGTGGAAGACAGTCCTCCCATCCTGCCTCAGCCTTCCAAAGTGCTAGGATTATAGGCGCGAGCCACTCGGCCCAGGCCTTCTTACTCCTCTCTAAGTGTTCAGTATGGTGACATTAAATACATTCATAATGTTGTGTAGCCATCATTAGCATCCATCTGCAGGACTCTTTCACCTTCTCAAACTGAAACTTTGTCCCCATTAAACATTAACTCCCCACCCCACTCCTTCCCGGGGGACCCACTGTTCTACTTCCTGTCTATGAACTCCATGCCTCTTGGGATCTCATATATATGAGTATAACTGGAATCAGACAGTATTTCTCTTTTTGTAACTGGCTTATTTCCCTTAGCATGGGGCCCTTAAGGTGTATCCACGTTGTAGTATGTCTCAGAATTCCCTCCCCTTTTAAGGAACTCTATGAGGTATCTCCATTTTACAGATGGGGAAATTGAGGCTGAGAGAGCCATTCAGAAAGTTGCTCGAGTAACAAGAACCAAGAAGTGAACTCAGGCTGGAGACACTTATTCTACTTTTGTGCTAAAATTTTTCCTTCTGTGGTCAGAGGTTTCTCCTCTTTTCAAGAGCACCTTTTAAGGAAGGAAAGGGTGTCACAGTCTGGGCTAAGAGTTGCAAGCACAGAAGTCCAGTGCAAACTCTCATAGTCACAGAAAGGGGATTTATAGGCTGGGCTGGGCTGGGCTGGGTTGGAATCTGCCACATGCAGAGCACGCGGTTTAAAAGTGATGGGAGGTGGCCCCCCCAAATAGGATCCTCTCCCCCAGAGATAGGAAATAGATGCTGCTGACGACATGCCTAGAGAGCTTCTCAGCAAAGGGTGGTGTGCCTCCGTGTGTCCGCCTTGTGGTGGCCAGGGTGTGGCTTTGCTGTTGTCCTTCTGACACATTGAGTGAGAGAAGCCACCCCCTTCCCACTCTCTGCTCTCTCTGTTCAGTGTTGCCCAAGTTTGAGCTGCAGATTGATCCACCCCGGTACATCCGAGACCTCGATGCCTGCGAGACAGGCACTGTGCAGGCCAGGTGAGAAAGAGGGTCCCTTGGGCTGCATTGGAGGCTCCCCCCATCGCAGCCCTCCCCCACTGCCTCCTGCCCTCGCACGTGGTGTCCCTTTGCCCCAGGAGCATCTCCTACATCCCCCTCCCGGTGGGCGTGCCCGTCCCCCATGGGTGTTCCTTCCCTCCCTGGGGGTGCCCCTCTCCCCATGGGTGTGCCTCTCCTCTCAAGGGCAAGACCCACCCTACCCTGTGACTCCCCACCAGCGACCTTCCCTGAGGACTTGCCCCTCCCAGGTGTCCCTTTTCCCTCCAGGGTCCCTCTCCCTGAGAGTGCCCCCAGCTTCCAACAGTACCCTTAGCTGAGGGCATTCCTGGCCAGCGTGCTGACTGGGAAGAGGGGTTTCTGCAGGGGGCTGCACACCTGACGACCGAGTTATTGACTGACCCCGAACCAGGGTCAACACACAGGCGTCCAGAGGTGCTGTCCCTCTCTGGGGGTGCCCAGGAGAGCCCTGAGAGACCCTCACTCCTGCCTCCTCCTGTTGCCTTCCCAGAGGTTGTGGCTGAGACTGCCCTCTGGCCCACGTCTCCTCCAGCTGTGTAAGGTTTCAAATTCAGTGTGCAGTTTGGGACACGGCATTATAGTCTCTAGGAAGTGACTATTGAAATGCCCAGTGCTATTTTGTTATTTGCTGAGCTCTCCCATTTGGCACCTGTTCCCCATGCACAGGAGTTCCCTCTGCATCGGGCACGACATACATTTAAGTTTCACCAACATCCCTGAGAGGATAGTTTTATTCCCATTCTTGGGGTGAAGAAACTTGAACAGTTGAACCCACTAGGGTGTTCAGGGCCAGGTTTCCTAGAGCTCACAAGGGCTTGTTCCTCTGCACTTCCCTACTTTAAAGGTGTCAAACCCAAGACTTGGTACAGAGGATTACAGGGCCCTGGTATCATCTGTCCTGATTCCAGGCTGCAAGGGGTCTGTAAGGACAAAATGCTGGATGGGAGAGGGAAACTGTATCCGTCACTGTACTACTGGCCACAACCTGTGGACCTGGCCTTCTTGAAGCTGGCCTCTCCCACTGCCCCATCTGGGGTCTCATGGCTGTGAAACTGAGTGCACTTTATCCTTTTGTTTCAGGTATACCTTTGGGAAACCTGTGTCGGGGGCCTTAACCATTAACATGACTGTACATGGCGTGGGCTACTACAGCCACGAGGTGGGGCACCCTGTCCTCAGAACCACAAAGGTGAGAAGCAGCACCCTCTCCTCGGCTTCAGCTCTGCCATCACACATTTTATTTTCCTTTCTAAAACACTTATGTGGTAGGGATCTTTCTTAGGATAAAACTCCTGCAGGTTAAACATAGAAGCTTCAGAAAATATAAAAAGGACGAAAATAGGGAGGCTGAGGCAAGAGAATCACCTAAGCCCAGGAGTTGGAGGTTGCTGTGAGCTGTGACGGCACTGTACTCTACCAAGGGTGATAAAGTGAGACTCTGTCTCTAAAAAAGCAAAAGGCCGAAAATAAAGACAGCTTGGTCTCTAACAGGCAGACAGAACCACCACAGATATTTTGGTGTGTTTCCTCCCAGGTGAAGTTTTCCTCCCTTAGATGTAAAGTTTTAAGAAATATATTAATAATTTTGTTGCCTGTAATCCTAGCTACTCAGGAGGCTAAGGCAGGAGGATTGCTTGAGCCTAGGAATTAGAGGGCAGCCTGGGCAACATAGCAAGACTCTGTCTCTAAAAAAGTAAAAACTAATGAATAGTTTTCAAAGAATAGTTTTAATGAATAGTTTTCAGATAGCCACAGAGTTGTGCAACCATCACCACTACCCAGTTTTAGAATAGTTCCACTACCTTCCCCCCCAATCTGTCAACCCCCTTTGCAAGTCATGCACCTTCCTAGCCCTCTGAGACCCTGGCAGGCACTAATCTGTTTCCTGCCTCTGTGGATTTGCCTATTCTGGATGTTTAACCACACGGTTTAAACATCGTGTGGCCTTTTGTCTGGCATCTCTCACTCGCTGTCATGGTTTGAGGTTTGTCCCCGTTGCAGTGGTGTCAGTGTTGACTCCTTTTCATGGCTGAGTAACATCCCACCGCAGGGATTCTGCATACGCCTTCATCTGGTGGGCGTTTGGGTTGTTTTCCACCTTGTAGCTATTATGTAGCTTGCTGCAGAATAAGACAGTCATATACAGGTGGGCGTTTGTTTTCATTTCTCTTGGATCCAGACCTGGGAGTGGAATTGTGGGGTCATGGGATACACTGTGTTTAGCCTTTTGAGGAAACACCAGACAGTCAATGTCACTGCCCTGTTTTTCATACCTGTGCATGTAAATTTTTGGAGCTTTTTTTTGGTTTTCAACATAATCTTACATGGAGAGCACACAGTAATATGACAGGCAGTTACCTTCCTGGAGATTCCTCATCTTTGTAGGTGCCTGAGACATTAACTCTTTTGGTGCCAATTCCTCCCCACCCCCTATTCAAATCTTTTTCCCTGTCCCCTTCTCACCTGGACGGGTAACTCCTCTATCTTCAAGGTGTCTCTTCTGTGGAGAGGACACTACCCCCCTCACCTAGTCCATGCCTCTTACTAGCACCCTGGGTATCCCAGGTGTTCTCCCAGGACGCTGATGGTGGCCTTTGTCTTAGTTCTCCCAGTTACTGAGTAATTTATTCCATAGTTGTTTCTGCATGTGGATCACTTGCCAGGCCTCGAGGTGGGGTCCTCCAAGGGGTTGAACCAGGGAGTTCTGTGCTCCAGAGTTGGGCTGACCCAGTTCAAATGTAACCCCTTCTTCCTGGGCTGAGGGAGATTGTGTCACCACTGTAGGGACCTCTTTCCTCTTTTGCCCAATGGTGCTGGCATCCATCCTCCCCGGACATTATGCAATGAGAGGCCATCTTCACAGTCTCCATGTAGTGACCCGTGGCATATGGCATAGATTGGGTATGTCACCTAGTGTCCCTGGGCTCTAGCCAGAGAGCCCTGCACCTCAGGGTGGTTGGGGACATCCCCCTGAGGCCACCCCAACCCTGAGTGAGCACAGCCTATATTTTTCTCCCCTCCAGATTCTTGGCTCCCAAGACTTTGACATCTGTGTGAAGGACATGATCCCAGCAGATGTCCCTGAACACTTCCGGGGCAGGATCAGCATCTGGGTGATGGTGACCAGTGTGGATGGGAGCCAGCAGGTTGCATTTGATGACTCTACTCCTGTCCAGAGGCAGCTGGTGGACATCCGCTACTCCAAGGACACAAGGAAGCAATTCAAGCCAGGCCTGGCCTATGTGGGGAAGGTGAGTTTGGGGGTAACTGTGCTGCTTCCCACCAAGGACCACTGTGAAACCTCTGCCACTGGCAGGTGTCCCTGGCTCTGCAGTGGTGACTCAACTTTGATTCAGATGAAAACAGGTCTTCTGGGCTCAGTGCCTGTAGCTCAAGCAGCTAAGGTGCCAGCCACATAAACCGGAGCTGGTGGGTTTGAATATAGCCCGGGTCTGCTGTACAGCAATGACAACTACAACCAAAAAATGGCTGGGTGTTGTGGTGGGTGCCTGTAGTCCCAGCTACTTGGGAGGCTGAAGTGAGAGAATCTCTTAAGCCCAAGAGTTGGAGGTTGTTGTGAGCTGTGATGCCACAGCACTCTACCCAGGGTGACAGCTTGAGGCTCTGTCTAAAAAAAAAAAAAATAGAAAACAAGTTTTCTGGTTGTGCTCTTGGGATCAAGAGGCTGATTTGTGGAGTGTGATTGTGATGAGAGCTGGCACCCTTGGTGAGGGGCACAAGACATTTTCCTCCACCTAAAAGAATGATCTACTTTATTCTATGCTGACAGACATTCCTGGACCTATGGTATAGGTCCAAGGTGTTGGGTGGTCATTTATTAAATCAGTTCCTCTAAGGCAGTGATATTTTATTATTATTATTATTATTATTTTAGGACAGGGCCTCACTGTGTTGCCCAGGCTGGTTTCCAGCTCCTCACTTCAAGCTATGCTCCTTCCTCAGCTTCCTGAGTTGCTGGGATTATAGGCACGAGCCACCAGGCCTGGTCTGGTTTCTTAATTGGGTTGATTTTATCCCCTGAGGACCTAACATCAGAATCTCCCAAAATTCAAATCTGCTGTCCTTGAGACCAACTGATTCAGAACCCTGGACTGGGAAGCAGCATTTTGATTGAGCCCCTGCTTATCATCTGCTGTGTGATTCTTAGGCACAATAAACAATGAGATGACCAGAAATCGTGACCCTTAAACTGGGGTGTCTTCATCCCAGTTGCAGTAGCGGGAGGTGGGTGAGGCCAGCAGAGCCCTTTGTCACCCCAGGAGAAGGCAGGCCATGCCCTCAGAACCCCACCCCTGCTCTCACTTCAGTTCCTTCTTGCCATCCGTGGGCGTCACCCACGAGGGGCTGGCTGTCTGTCCGTCCTTACACTGAGGCCTGATGCTCTTGCTTTACTCTGTGCCGGGGTCCCAGTCACCTCTTTCTCATACATGGAGACACAGCTCCTGTGCCCCTCCTTTTGAGGATCCCAGCTGAAGTAGAAACCAAAGTACTTCGTGTAGGCTCAGAATGTGTGTGAAGAAGGGGCTTAGGGCTCTCAGTTGGGTCAAAGGGAAGTATTTCACAGACAAATGAGAAAATATCCACCTTCTGCATTAAACTCAGTGTTTAATCGGATCATGTGAGCTAAAGCCCAGGACCTCTGTCACCAGGTACCTACACAGCTGTGGGGCTTCTTCCAGGGTCTTTCTGGGGCCACGATCCACACTTCTTTCAAAATATCTGTGCCTGCTTCATTCTGTCTGTCCCATCACTCTGAGTGAATGAGGTCTAAGGGTCACATGGAAATGTTCACAGCACTGTCCACCAGTCCCTAACCCAGTGTGGTATTGGATGAAGGTAATTTGTACTTTGTGACTTCTTTGTCAAATACAAAGACATGAAGGTTTATTCTTAGGTTTTCTTCTAACAGTGTTAACAGTTTTATTTTTTTTTTTTT